CAAGTTGGGCATGATTGACATCTATGCTCCAACTTGAGGGGGAGTGTTGAAAGTGTTAAAATAATTGATTTTATGTTTGTTAGGGTCTGTTTGGCTGATTAAAGCCTTTTTTATTTTAATCTATTATTGTACTATCACTTAGTAGGGGCACAAGGGTCATTTCCCTTCTTATTTTTTCACTCTATATATTATAATGAAGCTGGTGCCGCCAGTACCGTTCCATTGCCTCAACACTTCTTCCTTCTCTTCTCTTCTCTTCTCTTTGCTGTAACCTTCAATTAGATTTACTGTCAAGAGTATCAGAGCTCTAATCTGGGCGCAATCTTCTCAGATCTTGTTTTCTTTCCTTTTCTGAAAATCTTTTTTTTTTGAAGACTCCATTGTATTCTTCATCTGGGCGCAACCTTAGGCCTCGATTTTTTCTTTCTTCTCTCTTAGTCGCTGTACCAAGAAGAAGGGTGTGGTGGCAGCCGAATGCAGTAAAGGTTCTCTCTAGATCTGTGGTGGCAACTGAATGCAGTAAGGTGCTTTTCTAGGTTTGTGGCAGGAGCTGAATGCATTAAGGCTTGGTTTTTGAGGTTTCTCTATGTGCTGTAGGTCGTGGAAGCCAGGTATGTACTGTTACATTCATACGTAAACATTTGACCACTGTGAATGTCATAGTTTTGAGGTAGTAGGGACTGGTTGTCTCCTCTTATAAACTGAAGTGTTTCGGCTAAGAGTTAATGACCTACAGTCCTATTGAACCAATTTTTGGAGCCTTCTTATTTTTTTAGAAGAAAAAAACCCTCTATCTCAGATTGGTTTTTTGAAAAAACAACAGTAAATTTTTTGTTGAAATGGCTACTGAGGATTCAACAACCTCTGGTATTACTTCCTAGCAAGGAAAGCTAAATGGGGAATGGACATCATGAATTTATCTATGTCTATTACCCCCTTTGATGGCCTGAATTATTTGGAATGGTCCAAAGTCATCAAACTTTATATCACAACTAGGGGGAAGGCTGGTTATATAAGTGGAAAAATAAAAGAACCAAAGTCTGGTACTGCTGAACATGACCGATGGGATCAAGAAAACAACATGGTTATGTCATGGCTGTTAGGCTCTATGTTGCCTCATGTAAAGAAAAATTTCATATGGACTAACACAGCTTGTGAAATTTGGGAACAAGCCAAGGCAACCTATTTTGAATAGAGGAACTTTGCCAAGATTTATCAGTTTCAAG